TTGGTTTTGTGCTATATTGCAAGAGAGGCAGTTGGGTGTTATTAGTTGGGGCAGAGCAGTGTTGTCAGTTGGGATTGGAACATAGAGCAGAGTTTGTAGCAAAGGTTAGGTCATATGTGACTTGTTTCAAAAACAAATTAGCAAGATATAATATGTTTGGGTTAAAGTAAGCAGGAGCAATGGAGGAAGAATAATTGAAATGCATTATGACATGCATTGGGGTTGGGACATAGAGCAGAGTCATAGCAATGGTTAGGTTTATAACACAAAATGCTTGTTGATTATTTTGCTGTTACCCATGATGTTATTCTTATTGCGATTATTCCATACTATCACTTTTGCTATCTGATATATCGTCGTGTTTACATTTGCAATGGATTTCTATATATCTGCTGTTTTATTTCTTGTCACTACATCTAATTCTCCATTATTTATCTACTTGTTCATATTTGTATGATGCATTTAGTCAATTGGATGGAAAAAAAATCAATTCTCAAATGGATAAGAAAATATCAACGACCTGAAGGTTCAGTTCCAGATAAGGTATGTTGATTCCCAAGAATACATCAAACATGCATTTGAATTTTCTTCTGATCTAATAATAATATTATTATTATCATTATTATATTTTAGCTTATTGGTAATTTTGGTGCATCTTTTCCTCTTCGTCACCGAGAAGACACATTCAATACTTTATGGCATGGCACCCCAGAACGAAATGGTATCCTTTCACGTCTTCAACATCGTGCATCAAAAGATCGAACCTTGCACCCACTCCCTTTTTTGGCATGTGGTCCAGGAACAGGAAAGAGCAGATTCCTAGAGGAAGCTGCAAATTTGATTATGCATGAAGTAGATAATTCTAATGATAGTAACCTTAAGGCTGCCTTCTCTAAACTTGTTGCTGTTAACATCACATACGGAAATGGCACTTCTGCAAGTCAATATGATAAAACAATTGGAGGTGAAGCATCAATAGCTGTTCGGCTACTTTATCAGCATTTTATTAGTTGTGATAATCCAAAGATTGAGTTTGAAGGATTCAGTCAAGTGGGAAACATGAGAGAACTGCGATTGAGAACTGCTATGGAACTTATTGCTGAAGATTTCCTTTCTGACACATCAGATAATCCTACAATAATCATCATTGGCATTGATGAACTGAACTTACTCTACCAAATTAATCGAGAAACTCTTCGCCAGGTTGTGCATGCTGTTGGAAGTCAAAGCTGTCGGGGTGCACCAATTTTTGTCATTTCTATCCTAGCTGGTACAGTTCAAGGGCCTATGGAGGAACTTGTTAAAGAATCAACTTATCTTCTTCTGCATCTCCCACTTCCCCTCCTCACTGATGTTGACATGCTGTATATTGCTCATTCTCTTCTGCCTGATAAATATATCCATAGCAACTTTGTGTTTCGCCGTTGCCTTTCAGACATAGGTGGAATGGCTCGAGCCATGGAATGTTTCTTTAGTAAAATCATAGAGGAGAAACTTAGTATTAACAATGGAAATGAAGCAGAAATTACTGAAAACAATGCAGAAATTATTGAAAATGAAGCAGAAATTACTGCTCTGGATGCAATTGATTTAATGAAAATAATACAAAGATTGGTAGTTGACTTAACCACCAAATATCCCTTCAAAGAATATGCAAGATTTGTCACTCCAATGGTGGCACATGCCATTCTGGAATTACCAATCAAGGATTCTGATGGCTTTCAAGTCACAAAGCAGGAGGGTGACAAGACTAATGAATACTTTGTAACATACAAGGATATTAAGTCAGCAGGTATTATCAATCTTGACCTTGCTGATTCAAATACCAATTTATGGTATATCCGCCTTCCATATTTGTGGTTATATATAATTGTCTCAGAAGCTGGTGAGAAATCACCTTTCAAAACCTGGCAAGGATTCATCGACCCTGAAAAGCCAATATATTGGGAGGAATGGGAGTCATTCTGCATGGAATTCTGGGCTTTACGTTTGCGTCTTTTTTCTGCAATCAGCAGTAACACTGTTGATCTGGAACAACTCCTGCAAGGAGCTTTAATTTCTAAGTTGAAATTTCCCAATTTCCAAGTTGAAATTCCCACATCCATTAGAGTATGCAAACTAAGAGAGAAATATCCAGACAAACCCACTGTACTTGATACAAAGGACAAAAGGCACAGGAAGTTACACACACAGTATACAAATGTGTACATCAATGGCAAAGGGTCTGTGTGGGATGGTTTTTCATATCTTCATGGAGACTCTGATCGGATGCTTTTATCTTTTCAAATGAAGTTTGCTGAATCTGACTCTAAAAATCCTCAACAAATCAGTGAGGAGCTAATTGGCAAAGAATTTGATAAAGCTTCAAATGCTTACAAACAGTTATTGAAGACAAACAACTTTCCAAAAACAACACAATGGGGTATGCTTGTTTTATCTAACGCTTTTCGAAAGCATGATGTGACTCAAGATAATCTTCCTGCACAATGTGCTGTGGTTGACCGTTCAAATTTCCAAGCCTTTTTTGGGCAAACTTTTGCCAGTCGTGCCCAGTTTGTAGCAGGTATATTACAGACTTTTGATTTACCTTGTTCCATTGTTGCACCTCAATACTGAAATATTCATTCTTTCACACAGAAGGATATAAAATTTATATCAATATGGCACCATCCTACATCCTTCAACTCATTCCTAAAGTTGGGGATGTCATTGCAAGGGAGATAATTTCGAATAGGAAAAGAAAGCGTTTTGAGAATGTTGATGACCTCCTTGCACGTGTTCCAAAGTTTCCCCGTAAAAGTACAGAGGCCATTGTAGTACCATAGAATGATATTTGATAAATAAAGATGTCATATTGCGAAGGCTAATATGGTCCGGTGCATAAATGTAGATACCTCAATATAAGAGGTTTCAATCGCTACCAAATCAATCAACGTCAAATTTTTTGTATGTAATAAAGTAATACTATATCTATCATTCTGATACTTTGATCTATCTATGATGTTTCCAGTGATTGATAAGCAACGCTATTCGCCCTTGACGGGGAATGAAAAAAAAAGATCGTTAGTGCTTATAAATATTTTTCTGATTCTACCTCCGTCAATAAATGTAATCAGAAGTTCACACTATGCAAGCGTATTGCTGTGGTATTGGGCATTTCAGAAAGTGTTGGGAGGGTTATTCAAGATTGGAACAAATGTAATGGCGGATCTTTTACACCACATAAGATTATTGGCCGACCGGAGGTTTGAATCAAATGAAACAGGACGACCCCTATCTACGGCGGTGATACAACAGTTTCTTTCAGAAAAAGGGCATATAGTTTCTAAGTGGCAACTTCTTCGTATGTTACACAGTTTGGGCTACTATTTGGCCGTGGCGAAAGAAGGAATATTTCGCTGTCAATATCTTTAATATTGGGGCTTGCTAATTTACAAGGTAAACTCACAGGTTATTACTGGATTATGGAGAAAAATTATTAGGATAGCAAAAAATTATGTAAATTCCGATAATAATTTTTTTAGTTGATTTTGACTAATCAACTTTTAATAAAATTGATGACAAAATGGTTTGTTACGGCGCGCTGATCTGATGAATCAGATAAGTAAGTCACATGGTAAAATCTTCCTCCGCAGTCATGCAGATC